CATGTATTTCAAGCTGGAGTGCTGTGTGAGCGGGACTCACAGCATGGACCTGGTGGCCCTGGAGCCCTTCGGAGAGTATGCCATGCTGCCTGGTCTGGACTGCACCTTCCCTAAGTGAGTGGCTGCCTCAGCTCTTACTTGGTAAACAAACCCAGCTTGCCAGACCCCACTGCTTTTTCTGACACTGCCCCTCCCAGGTTTTAAACATATTTTTTGTGGATTAAACTGGGCATGTGTTTGTTAATGGTTGAGATATTCTTTGCACAGTGCATGTTTCACCATTGCTCTCAGGAGCACCATGACCTCTGCCGGCACCATCTGCAAGTTTTTTCTGATGTACCTGGTATTGATCTCTTTCTCCCTCCATCCCTCACTTGTTCTTCCTTCCTCTCTGTTGCAAGCAGCTTTCTCCTGGGCATCTGGACGACAGCTCAGATCATGAACTCCCAAGTCACTCATTTGGGAGAGCAGGGAGTGAATCCGTGGTGAGGAAGGTCAGGGAACGAGCTACGTACCTAACTTTGTCTTTCCCCTCTCTTAGTGGTTATGACGGCCTCACAGACCGTATAATGTCATCTCTGCCCAAAGGGCTTGTATTGTTTGGTAAGCCAGTGAAGACCATTCATTGGGGAAGTGCCTGCATGGAAGAGTCAATGGGGCGCTGCTTCAGCGTGCAGGTAGAATGTGAAGATGGAGAGAAGTTCTTAGTGGACCATGTCATCGTCACAGTGCCTCTAGGTGAATCACTTTGGCTTTCTGGGTCCCCCCCCCTTTCAGCCTGATCTTTGACCGTAATAAAATTATGCTTGTATATTCTCTGTCTAACTGGCTCCTGTGCTGACTAAGCCCTCCCCCTTTTACAGCACAGCCTCTGATCTCTGGTCACACTGTGTGCCCACTGTGTTGAGTAGCACTCATTTTAAAAATGGGTAGGGAATGTGCACCTTGTTTTTAAGGTGTTACTGTGTTCCTGGCACCTTCCTGGAAGTGGTGATACAGTATATGCAATTCCCACTCCTTTGTACCTCTTTTTTTTAAAAAAGTACTGATTCTCCCAGCTCTGTAGTTCTAAGATTATTTTAGCAGCATTCATCCAACTTCTCTTCATGTCCTGATCTGTTTTGTGTTGTGCCATTTCATTACCTCTAGGTTTCCTCAAAGAACACCAGGAGACCTTTTTTTCCCCTCCACTTCCCTCCCAGAAGATGGCAGCAATAAAACACCTTGGTTTTGGGACAAACAATAAAATATTTTTGGAATTTGAGCAGCCGTTCTGGAAGCCAGATTGTGAACTAGTTGAAGTTGTATGGGTGGATGAATCTCCTCTGGCTGAGTCAGCCGCTGACCTGCAGGCTACCTGGTTTCAGAAAATCCCTGGCTTCATTGTTCTCCAGCCACCAGAAAGGTATGCAGGAAGGACAGACTGAAATGGGTTCTGGAACAGGCCCTTCTGGCGCAGCTGTCATTTGAACTAAGGAGCCACCCAGCACCAGGTTCAGTTTCACCTGATCCTCCTTGCTGCAACGGGGGAGGGGGCAGCGGGCAGGATTGACTGAAACTTCTAAGGCAGAGGCAGAAGCATAGAATGTATCCCCCTCACTGAGCCACCTTCAGTCACAGGAGGGTGAAACTGCACACACCTTCATCACCTGCCATCATCACACACCTATAATCATGACCAAAAATATTGATCCTTCATCACCTGCCATCATCACACACCTACAATCACCTACACCTACAATTCTGGCAGAAAATGCAACCCTTCTCTCAGAAAATCGTTGCAGTTGCAAATGTTTTGGTACTCACATGCTCATTTATTTGGTTTGCATTGGAACAATACAAAAAAACAGAGAAGAAATGTCAGATCTGATACAATCCCACACAGAAACCCAAAAATGCTCAGCAAGGGATGGTGGTATCGCGCTCATAGTCACTGTGCTATGCACAGCCCCTCCTTAGGCTCATCCACAATACTTGTACATTCCATCTAAAATTGTCAATTGTCTAACCTGTTACTAATGTGTGAGATTTTAACTCTGCAAACCTCCTACTAAGAATCAGGATGGAGAGTGCTCTTCTATCTTGATAGGGAGGACCTACCTTGACAGTCGCCTTTAGTTTTTCACGATGGTGATGCCTTCTAAATGAAGTGTTTGGTGTTAGGAAAAATCTGTGTTTATGGATGTGCACAGACACACTGCTCTGTCCGGAAACAGAAATAAATTGACTGTAATGGACTCAAGGAAATCTTGCTCTGCAGTAAAATCTTGCTCCTGTTGTCCTTTCACTGTACAGGTACGGGCATATCCTCTGTGGCTTCATTGCTGGGAAAGAGGCCGAATTCATGGAAACTCTCTCAGATACTGAGGTTATCACAGCCTTAACACAAGTATTGCGTAGAGCAACAGGTAGGTGTCTCCTTTAAACCAGTTTACATACAAAGAGTCCCTGAGCATAAGAATTCACACAGAAATCTAAGATAACTGGCCAGAATTTTCAGAAATATCTGTAATTTTGCAGATTTGTGTAAAGGAGGTATTTGCTAGCTTCTCTTACTTTGCCTTCCTTGGAAACAGGGAGGTTGTGTTTAAGAGCAATTTTTTCCTGCTATGACGTATGCAGACTCCAAAGGAGAGGACATTGGAGTTTGATAATGAAATTGATCACCATAACCAGAAGGTGGATGGTTTTCATAATGAATAGTTCTGTCACACTGGGGCATAGGGCAGCTTCACTGATGCGCAGGAAACTCAGGCTTGGATTATTTTTACTCACAGAACTGCAGAGTCAATGGTCAAATCCAATTTCCTGCATTATGGCAAAATCTTCTAATCACGAGGGCCTTAAATTTCTTTAAGTAGTCAAAACTCTGGAACAGCTGTCTCAACAGCTGTAGAAAAAGGTTTAGCCAATTTTCACAAGGAACAGATCCATAGACTTCATAAAATCAGTTTAGTTCAGCCAGGGATGCTTTATCCTACCATTTCCCAAGTTCCTGAGAAAATCAGCAAAAGAGCTCTGCCTAGGACAGTTATTTCGTGACTGAAATCCTGTTGCTTATCACAGTAAGTCACACAACTAGAAAAGAGGCCAATTGAATCCCAGTAGGTCTGGGTTTGTCACAGTCAGATTCTGTGGGCCTGCTCTAGTTGTGAATTACTAATAGATTTCAGCCCATGTTGCTGAAGTGTTTTGCTTAAAGTTTTAACTCTGGCACAATATTCATTGGCTGTTGTTTCTTTGGACCAGGAAATCCACAGCTTGACCCTCCAAAAAACATTCTGAGATCTAAATGGCACAGTGAGCCCTACACGAAAGGCTCCTACAGCTACGTGGCTGTGGACAGCAGTGGAGATGATATTGATGTCCTTGCTCAGCCCCTTCCTGAGGAAGCACACAATTCCAAGGTAACTATTTTGGATTCTTGGTCATATGGGAGTTTGTTTTTCAACTCCTGTAAGCTGCTGCAAACCTGTTATGCCAGTTGTGCACTGGCTGCTTTCCCCAAGTTGTATGTATCAACCCTTCTACTCCCCCACCCTTGACTAACTTAGGCTTGAGTGAATTGTGAATTCCTCTGATCAAGGCTATGCTAACGCTGTTCTTTCTCACTGCAGCCACTCCAAGTTCTTTTTGCAGGAGAAGCCACGCATCGCACATTCTATTCTACCACCCATGGAGCCTTGTTGTCTGGCTGGAGAGAAGCAGATCGCCTCATCCACCTCTATGATTTACCTGACTCCCCACACGCTATGCTGTAACAACAGCAGAGATGACAGTAGCTTTTTTTTACTCCTGATTATTGCTTCGAAGGAGTGATTAGAAATCATAAGTCAATGCAAACTCCCTTGCCTTCCCCCAGATTCTCCAAAAGCCTAATTTAAAACTTTCTTGACTTTATGACTGGGGCATTGATGCCAAAGGATGTGGCTACTAACACCCCTCTGCACAACGGAGAATATTCAGTATAAATAATAAACCTATTTCTAGGCAGCTCCTTGTCTACCTCTTCTGGTCCAAGAATATAACTTTCTGCCCTAGAGAACTCAGTACAGAGATTTAATCTGACTCTTTCAACTCACTTTCTTAAAGACAACGGAATTTTATTATTGGAGTTTTGCAACGCTGTACATTGGTTTGGGAAGAGGTACCCATTCACTTCCTGACCAAAACAGGACCTCTGAGACATACCTACAGTGTTCATCCCAGCCCATGGTTGCTGTTCATTTTCAGTACGCCAGAGATGGAAAAAATTGTGAGGATGCTGGTGGGGGATGAGCAGGGGGCACGCTTCTTTAGGAGTGTGAGAAATTCCCTTTCTGTTTACTTTCTGTGTTCCATGGCAAACTAATTGGGGTGGGGGATGGTACTCAGAGGTGATGAGATCCCATACCTATGGAGGATGAATTCCACTCCTTATGAGTTGTTGTAGAGGAAATGAAGTTACCTCTTGTCCTCCTGAAAACCTTTCTCCCTCCATGATGTGCAATCTGAGGCTTTTTACTATGCTTCATTTTACAAACTAAGATTGTTTTGGTTTTTTGAACTCTCATTAGTATGTGAAACTAACTGTTCTAAAGTAAAGATATCATAGATTGTGTCAGGGAGAGTCAAAATTTTCTCTTCCTATCACTTTTATTAAGCAGAACACGGACAATTTCCATTAGCAGGAATCCACACATTTGGGTAGGTAATGGAAAGAGCAGTTTAGGATTTAAGATGAGAACCTTGCTCCAACTGACTTGTCATTTTATCGTCTGAAAATACTGTGTTTTTTTATAAAATTAAAATGATTGCTAGATCAATGTTCAGTTTGCCACACTAGTGCCATCTGCTACCAAACAGTTGAGTGACAACACTTTTAGAAGTTAGCTTTACATTTGCACTGTGTGATCCTGTTTGTGCCAGCCCATACATCTGGGAGCTCAGAGAGCTACAAGAGACTGTTTCTCTGTTCAGGTTTCAAAGTCCTGTCTCCAAAGTCTTAAATTCCACTTGTGCTGGGGGTGTGTGTGGAAAGAATCCACCTCTGCCTTTTATGAAAAATAGGTAGCAAATGAACAAAGGAGATATGGTTAGTTTTTTCAGCCATTTTTTAGCCAGTTTATTGTTGCTTGATTCAAGCAGTAAAATGGTTGTCACCAAATTAAACAACACTCGTTTTCTCTGCGGTGAAGGAAAGGGAAGCTGTGTTCCGATGTCATGGTAATACTGTACATGGTTTATTGTGGGAGAATTTGGCAACATTATTGTTTTGGACTTCAGTTCAACTAACCAAGCTGGGGGATTCTAGGAGCTGCATTTGCCATTCTCCTTTTCTCCTCCAGCCCAACCACAAGAGCTTTAGAACCTCTGCTCCCATTTTTTGTTAACTGTCATCCAAACATGGTGGACTGTGCTTCATCTAAAATTGCTTGCTTAGAACAAGCCAACATCAGTCTCTATGTTATAAAGTTGGCTTGTTTCAAATAAGACATAGGTAAGAATAGCCACATTTTTGGAGGGAGTTCAGTTGACAAAAATCATGGCAAATCACAAGCAAAGCCTATCAGGACTGGGGCCATGCCGGAAGCATGCAACCTTAGTGCATGCAGGATGGGCCCCATCCCTCTGGGGAGAACTGCTCTAGAGATGGCAGGACTGGGCCCTTTCCCTACAACTGCTGCCCTCAGGAGGGCCACTTGTGGAATCTGAGGACTGGGCTATATGAGAACAGGCTTTCCCTGCAGACCTTTGCCTCAGCAACAAAGATCTCTGTTTGTGCTGTTCCTGCCTTACCTCTCCTTGCATTCCTGGACCCTGCTGTCTTGATACTGTTCCTTCTGACTTTCACTCTTGGACTGTCTGACCATGATTTATGTCATCCTTCTACTGTTTGGACTCAAAACCTTGGCTGGTTGGTCTCTGGTTTGGCTGTGAGATGGTTTCTAACTTGTTTCTGTGGTCTTGTTCTGGACTGGGTCCTGGTGCCTTTTCTACTGAACCCTGACAAAGCCATGCTGAAGGATGGAGGCATGTGAGTCCAATTGAAGGAGGCTAAGCTCATGTTGTTCACATGCCATGGGTTAGCATAACTTGCAAATGTAGTCTAAAAGTGCTGCAAGGGTGGGGAATATAGAAAGAGTGAAGAGGTGCTGATACTTATTTCTAACAGAGAATAACCTCTCAAACTATGTTTATGTCTGTTAATGTACCTGTAAAATCCATAAATGTTTCTAGTATGTCTTAATTATATATAAATTCAGTTGTGTATGGTTTGCCTTTTCTAACGTATAGGTCTTCTGAGGTCAAACTTGACATTAAGGGTAATGCATGTTTCCTCCAGTTAACTGGCTTTGCCTCCTGCAGAAGGATTTTCTCAGAGATATGTGCTTTGGCAGCCAGATTTACAAATTTAAACCAGTGTTTATTTTCCAGTGACTGATTGCAAATTATACTCTTCCACTACTTAGAGAAGTGCCTCTTTTAAAAATGTGCTAAGTGGTTTGACCCTATACATAAACTTCATTCCTATCGTATCAACAACATTCCATGGTTCTTGCAGCCATTCTTTTTCCTCCTCTCTCTACATGCTTTCATTTCATGAAGAGACTAGGATAAAATGTCCACATCTCAATACAGTTCTTAATATTAAAGTTTGTAGATAGAAAATACTCAGACAGATACAAGATGGAGGGAGAGAAGCACTGCAACAAGTCCTTACATTATGTTCTGCCGCTATATCAAAAAATTTACTTTGCTGACTTTAATTTCCTTATACATGAAAAAGACTGTAACTGTACAAGTTAAAATACTCTTTGGAAGAGGTGGGAAGTACAAGGATGATGCTGAACATCTGTATCAATCTTCCAACTGTTTAAAGCACTTCAGATGCACTAAAATTGCAGTCCCTTGCAAAAACCATGTGAGGTCTTCAATTATCCCCAGCAGCCAACCAGGTTTTAAAATGTATGGCAAATAGACGCCTTTTTATGTTTGATCCAAACCTTCCAAAATGTTCTAAATGACTCTGTTTAAAGTAGACTTAAAATTGAACTCATGATCAAATGTGAGGGGCAATAGTGGATCCCTGCAAAGATCAGAGTATACACTGCAGTTTCACAAAATGTAGTCACTTATAAAGATAAAGAGGAATCAATAGTTTTATTTCCTTGCAGCATTACATAAGAGAAGAATTTTTGCTTAGTATGCATTCACCGCATGGAATGGTCTCTTTAAACCCTAAGTAACAAAAGTGAATATTCCCAGTGTGGTGTAGTTTTTTACAACCATACAAACAGGAAAATGCAATAAATAATCTGTCTCTAGCTGAATCAATAAAATATGTATTTAAATAAAACAAATTTGAACAGTTCTGGTCAATTAGTAAAATAGTAGTAAAACCAGTTTTATACAATTCAGTTTTAACTAAGGGGTCACAACCAAGAAAGCGTGGTTCCTGGTTCTTTTGACTTCCTTAGGTGTCACAATTTCTAATATCAAAAACTGCAAGGAACAGGTAGGAAAGGAATTTATTTTGCAAGAGAGAGATTCTGACAAGTATCAATGTTCTAAACTGTTAAAGGCTTCATAGGTCACAGGAGCACCTTAAATTGGGCAAAGAAACTTAACAGGGAGCTGCTGGAGGCATGCAAGACGGGATATGCATTCTTAGCTGCTATCTTTAATCAGTCTGGCAGCTACAATTGTTCCAAAACTGATTGAAAACTTTTGGAGTGAGGGAGTGGGATATAGGCATATACCACTGGTGGTGAACCTTTTTGGGCTTGTGTGCCCAAACGGGGGGGGGGGGAACCAGATGGCGTGCTGCTGCCGTGGCACCAGAAGTGGCAGCAGAAGAGGGAATCCAGGCATGGAGGTGCCTCGAGACCCTCCTCCAGATCCATTGCCAGCACCAGCTGTTCCAGATCCGCCTGCCGAAGCGCCAGCACCGCGGCTGCGGGGGGGGGGGGGGAGAGTAGCGATCCAATGACTTATGGCTCGCATGCCGGCAGAAAAGGCCCCACATGCCAGTTGTGGCACGCATGCCATAGGTTCACCATCGCTGGTATATACAGTACTATATACTGACTATTATAGTATTAATTTGCTAGATAGTTTAATCCTTTTACATTGCAAATACATTTTTTTAAATGCAAAAAAGAAAAGAACAAAGCATTTTAGCCATGTATTTCTGGTTTTCTAGAGTGCCAATAGTCAGTTTAATGTAGAGTTCCAATCCTTTTACATTGCAAATACATTTTTTTTAAATGCAAAAAAAGAGAAAAGAACAAAGCATTTTAGCCATGCATTTCTGGTTTTCTAGAGTGCCAATAGTTTAATGTAGAGTGCCATATATTTTGGGACAGCCCAGACTATAAATACAATAAATAAATACATACATACATATTTTGGGACAGCCCAGAGCTCAAAATACAGACATCTTTTCAATGCTTGGTCCTGACCCTATATTTTTTTGAATATATTCAGGTGGAGAGAATTGGAAACAGGCGTTTCAATATGAGCACTCATTCTGTACTGTGTTTCCCCGAAAAAACGGTCTTACATTAATTTTGGCTCAAAAAACTACATTAGGGCTTATTTTCCGAGGATGTTTTATTTTTTTCATGTACAACAATCTACATTCAAATACAGTCATGTCATCTTCTGGTTGCTGCACAATGGTGGAGGGTGGGGTTTCACTTAATGGGCTTATTTTGGGGGTAGGGCTTATATTATGAGGATCCTGAGAAATCCTACTACAGCTTATTTTCAGGGAAACAGGGTAATGCTCCTAAGTAAGGCTTACCTCTAAAACCTGTCAGCTTCCTGGCATGTGGACTACATATAGTTAACCAGCAATCCAATCGTGGAGTGTTTGTAATCCAAGCCATCTTAAGTACAGGAAAAGTGTCAAGGGAAATACCTACTGTTTTGCCTTATCTTCTGATAATGCAGAACAGTTTAAATTATAACATCAGATTTGACCACTGGAGGAACCAGAGGGCACTTTCCTCTCTATACTGTATTTACTTCACTGGGCAGTGAGTGTATCAAGTTCTGTTTGACAAACATTTGCAGGGACCACAGTCCACGAAAGCTTGAGTGTGTGTGTGTGTGTTAGTTAGCCATAGGCTTTAGCAAAATGAGTACAATACGAAGGCATAAAAACAACGTAACAAATGCATACGCACCAGATACATACAGTATACCTGTACACGAAAGATGGGGCCAAATAAAATTTTGGAGTCTTAAAGCACCACAAAACTCTTCAAATTAAACCCGTCAGCCTTTTAGGTGCCCAGGTTTTGCTGGTTCATGCAGCTCCTTTAGTGACAACTTTTAAACGCAGTTCAAAATCTCAAGGGCTACTGGGAAGCCTCCTTCGCTCATATCCCTCCGGTCCCCATTAAACGACAACAACAACGGGTGTCTATTTCTTCCTCGTCCTCCCATAGCCCTCGGGCGCCGCGAGACGATTCCCGCCGGTTTCCCTGGGAAGCCTTTCCGGGAGAGGGAGGACCTGCACGCGCCTCCGTCCCAGGTTCGTCGCGTCAGAGAAGCCCGGCCGACCCTCCAGGCTGGTCGCGCGCGGCTTTTGGTTAGCTATAGCGCGAGAGGCAGGGGGGAACCCCACCCCGCCACCCTTCCTGCTTCTCCCGGAAGGAGCTTGACGTCATAAGTCCTCGGAGGGATTCCCCAGGGAGAAAGGAGATGCGGTTCTCGTCTGCCTTGCGGAGCCTGAGATGGCGGGAGCGCTTCGACTTCGGCGGCCGGGATGTCGCCCACTGGTTCCCGGGACACATCGATTCCCGCCGGTTTCCCTGGGAAGCCTTCCCGGGAGAGGGAGGACCTGCACACGCCTCCGTCCCAGGTTCGTCGCATCGGAGAAGCCCGGCCGACTCTACAGGCTGGTCGCGCGCGGCTTTTGGTTGGCTATAGCGCGAGAGGCGGGGGGGGGGCCCCCCCCCCACCC